ACTCCTTCCAAGATTCAAAATCAACCATGGTTATCTATTTATTCACCTAATCATTGATATAAATTTATTTAATAAATCTACCCATTCAACCCATACACACGAAAACACTTACAGTAAGTAAGTGACAGAAAGATGCTAGGAAGAAACCCTAAATCACTGGGGTTCCAAATTCTTCCTTTGAGGAGAACTGCGGCCCTTTGATCTATGCTTCATCTCTGGTCACTTTTGGCCTGCTTTTGACAGGACATTGTACAAATATATATGGTTACACATATTCCTAATGTAGAAAATTAAATATTTTGTAAGCACACACAATGTGTGTTGCAAATACCTCTACTCTCCAAGCATTTGAAACTATGTGTGGATTAATATAACCCAAAAGGAGAGCACTTGCTGCTTCTAGGAACCGATGGGGTAGGAGATTGCACACACACACACACACACACACACACACACACACACACAGCCACCAGTAGTCACCCACCTTAAATGGTGAAGTCTTATTGAACTGTGAGCACTTGTCTAGCTATTGGTAATATATGGCAATGCCTGCAGCCTGGGCCTAGGTCACTTGTAATTAACACCCCCACTGGGTTTCCCGTGTGGTTTCTAACAAGGCTTTTGGAAGACAAGATATGGATTTTCTTTTTTAACCTTTTGAGACTGTCCCTGAGAAAAGCCAAGCAATCTGTTGGTTAATTATCCATAAAGCATGTGAGAGCTTAATGAAATGACTGGAGGTTGTCTGCTAATTGTCAGTGACAGTGTGGATATACTGGGAGTCCACATACTAATCAACTGAATGCCTGCAACCAAATTCCCGTGTTTTATCTAAATGACATATTGTTATAGACTTAAAATTATATTATAAACTTCATGTTTATTGTACCAAACTTTAATGTAACCACGATGTGAAAAAATCCAAACATCCACTTATTATTCTCAGTAGAATAATGGAGAAATAAAATATGGACTATACATGCAATGCAATGTACTTGCCTTGATGTATTAATCAATTAGCCTTAATTATGAATTCTTTCATATCTGATAACATAGATCAATCTGTATAACATTATGCTAAATGAAGCTATCTAGGCACAGAGGGACAGAAACCATAGATGATTCAGTTATATGAAATATTTGATATACCTTAAGGTAGAGAGTCTCACAGAAAGGTACTACTTGCAAAGGACTGATAGTTGGGAGAAAAGAGGAGTGGTTCATGAGGGTGTGGTTATGAAAAATCAGTAAGTTCCAGGAATGTGATTTGAAGCATTGTGCATATAACTACCATAATTCTTCGACTCACCAACAATTGAGTTACAAACTTTCACAGATACAGAGGGATATATCATTACAAAGATTCGTGAATGTGAAAAAAACAGAAAGTGGCCCAGATGGCCTCCTTACCATTTTTTTTTTCTTTCTGTATTTTTAGGGAAGGGCCTACAGGGTGTTCAGGGTCACACTGTGTAGATCGGACTCATAGTAATCTGCCTGTTTACCGCCTCCCAAGAGTTGGGGTTGCAGGCCCGCATCATTATGCCCAGTCTCAATCACCATCTCAGCGCTCCTTGGGGTGGGGCTGGCCTGGCTGGCCC